TACTGTGTATATTTTCTTGAGGTGTTTCTATGTCAGGAAATATCTAAGACTTATCTTAAAATGTTGCTTTACTTCTTTCATGCCCCGTATCACAAGCACTTGGAAAGCCTTCAATCTCACATAAAGACATACACACCCAGATACTAGACAGACAAACATTTCACTTGTAATTGCTCTGCCCTGCCCTACTGCTTTCATAGCATAGACGCTGTTTGGAATGTTTCTTTTTCTGCCACCCAATTTCTATAGAATAAAACGGCAACAGTGCCTGCTACCCTATAGAATTCAGACTTCAGTGTAGAAGTTGGGACTTCTTTAGAGGGAAAAGAAAGGCTCAGACAGAATTAACCACAATGAGGAGCTTGGGTTTTATCCAGAAAGGGGGAAAGGTCAGAATAGAATGAAGTTCTAGGCAAAATCAGCCCAGCCGTTTAGGAGATACAGTAGAAGTGCCCTTCTCAGTGCCATAATTTATTCATCAGCCTGTTGGCACACTTTTCCACAGTGTGGAAAAGACTGCAGTTCAGTTAAGGTCTAGTGTTTATCCTATAGCTCCACACTTGTAACTATTGGCTCTGATTTGATGATAAGATGCACTTGAATAGGTCAACTAGTATGCTAGGTAAGCTCATGTTTGAAATCACTTATTGATAACATAAAAATAAGATTCATGTTTATGATATGTTTATTCTTTAAATGGTTTATTTTTTCATGGTACTGAAATATGTATATGTATATTTTTAATTGATACAACTATAAAGCTTAATAAAGCCGGTTGTGCCTCAGTGTATGGTATTGTATCCAAATAACTTGTCCACAGTTTTTCAAATTTATAGACTTTAATATCCTTAGAAATATTTGTGTCTAAACTCTAAGGAAAGTTGAGTCTTGGAGAGAGTTTAATGGAAGGAATGAACTGAGCATCTGGTTGAAATAATCTTGTCTTTTGAAGTCACTTAATGGGTGATGACAATGACAAGTAACAGCTCAATTAGAAAATAAATATGGTATGAGTATGTAGACTACAATATGGCCTTCCAAAGATCTGACAGTCTATTTGTACTGTGGATTTGGGATAGCCTTTTTTCAAAAATTCTGAGTCACATAATTTATATGTTGGGTAGAAGTTTATGAAATGGCATATTCAATGTTTATGTGTATGTTAATTCTATATTCTTTTTAAGGAAATTTGGTATTGTAGAGATTATGAGTCAGGCTGCTAAATCTCACAGTCAGCAGTTCGAAACTACCAGCAGTTCCATGGAATAAACATGAGGCTTTCTGCTCCTGTAAAGATTTACAGCCTCTGAAACCCTTGTTGTTGTTGTTGTTGTTAAGTGCCGTCGAGTCGGTTCCGACCCATAGCGACCCTGTACAGGGTTTCCGAGGGTGTAAATCTTTACGGGAGTAGAAAGCTTCATCTTTCTCCCGAGGAGTGTCTGGTAGTTTTGAACTGCTGACCTTGTGGTTTGCAGCCTGATTCGTAACCACTACGCTACCCTACACGAGTCCAAATCAACTACACAGCACACAACCACCATATTCTTTTTGTTGATTATAAAACCCACACCCGTTTTTCTAAATTCAGAGGTGTATAATTTACGTAACGTAGTGGTTACGAGTTGGGCTGCCAACCTCAAGGTCAGCAGTTCAAAACTACCAGACGCTCCGCGGGAGAAAGATGAGGCGTTCTGCTCCCGTAAAGATTTACAGCTTTGGAAACCCTGTGCAGGGTCACTATGAGTCGGAATCGACTCCACAGTACTTAACAACAACAACATAATTTATTAGCTTTGTTATTAGTTTGGGAGTTCTGGTGTAGTGCTGTGGATTAATGCACTGGACTGCAGGGTTGGTTTGAACCAAAAGGTCAGAGGTTCAAGCTCAGCAGCCACTCCTTGGAACCTCTATATAGGGTCACTATGGGTCAGAACTCAAGGTTGAATAAAGCAAATATTTCTTGCATTCTATTATTCCTCCTTTGACACTGTCCCTGATAAACTGTTAGGCATCTAACTTGGTACTTACCTTAGTTACCGTATGCTGCTGTAAGAGAAATACCACAAGTGGGAGGTTTTAACAAACAGACATTTTTTTTCCCACAGTTTGTTGTTGCTGTTAAATGCCTATGAGTTAGTTCCGACTCATGGCAACCCTGTGTAGGGTTTCTGAGGCGTGGCTGGTGGGTTTGAACCACTGACCTTTTGGTTAGCAGTCCAGTGCTTATCCTATAGCGCTACAGTTTGTTGTTATTAAGTACTGTCAAGTTGGTTCCCACCCTTAGCAACCCTATGTAGAGTTTCCAAGGAGCAGCTGGTGAGCTTGAACCCCCGACCTTGTGGTTCAAACAGACTTTGCATTCTAGCACATTAACCCACAATGCCATACCAGTAGCACCATAGTTTAACAGGTCTGAATTCAGAATGCTGGCTCAAGAGGAAGATTCTGGAGAAAGGGCCTTGTCTCTTTTGAGTTTCTGCTCCTGGGTAATCTTCATGTGGCTTGCCATCTCCCCTCATCTCTGCTTACTAACTTGAGTTTAATCTGTTTTCTATCTCAAGAGATTGACTCAAGTACTGGAGTCCAGGTGTGGCACTGCAGGATAACGCACTGGACCACGCGGTCAGTTTGAACTACAAAATTGGCAGTTCAAACCTACCGGCCACTCCTTAGAAACCCTGTGTAGGGTCACTCTGAGTCAGAATAGACTTCATGGCACTTACAACAACAGCTACAGTATACCCTATAGGAATCCTCTAGTAACATAACAAAGACAACCCATGACCAAATGGGACTATAGCCACAGGCATAGAGGTTAGGATTTACATATTTGGGGGTGGAGCACAGTCCAATTTGTAACAGTACCTTAAAATTCAGGACAAAAATTAGATTTTGTCAAATAAAATTTAAAGCCTATAATTTCTTTCAAAAAAGTTTGGTGGGTCTACTACACAGGGAAACAAACAAATGGGATAAATAAGTGAAAATGGGAATCGAGAGAAGCTGAGAATGAGAAAGCAATTTAGTAAAAGAAGTCTAGGTGGTGACAGGTTCGTTTGTGTATTTATGGATTAGCTGGAGGGAAGGGGATGAGAATTTCTTTGCATAAAGTTGGCAGTTTGAAAAACTGAATGGTAATTATGAGTGCATTATGCAGAATAGAGTCTTTTTATGGTGCTGTGGGTTGGATTTGTGATGGACTGCAAATTCAGTTTGAACTGCAAAGTCAGCAGTTCAAAATCACTCGCCTCTCCTCAGAAACCCTACACCACAGGTGTTTAATGCACTGGACAGTTTACAAGGTCGGTGGCTCAAGCTCACCAGCTGGTCCTTGTAAACCCTATACAGGGTAGCTATGGGTTAGAACCAACTCAGTAGCACTTAACAACAACAACAACAAATGCATAAGTCATGGCGTTCAAACAGATATGTTTTTGTCAATTCAGGGAGAAATGTCCACCTCTTCTAGTCTTCAGAAAAGACAGTTGACATCTTAAAGTTAAAAAGATTTCCAGAACTCTCAAAGGTTCTCTGGTAGTGTAGTTGTTATGAATTGGGCTGTGAACCGCAAGGTCAGCAGTTTGAAACTACCAGCTGTTCCGTGGGAGAAAGATGAGGGTTTCTGTTCCTGTAAAGATTTACAGCCTTGGAAACCCTGTACAGGGTCGCTATGAGTCGGAACCGACTCTATGGCACATAACAACAACAACAACACTTGTCTCTATCAAGCAAAAAGAATATCACATCACTGATGGGGGAAGTGGGGTAAAAGCAGCAATGAAGCGGCAAGCTAAGCCCTACAATGTTCAATGGACTTCTGTGGACCCAATTGGGGACCCGGTTGGCAAGCAGTGTGAAGAGACCTGGGGACTCTTGGGCCCAGAGTCAGTGGCATGGCCACAGAGGACTCAAGAGGAGAGTGGAGCTACCGGCTAACGGGAAGAGAGGACATATGCACAGGAGCGCCCACACTTGCAAATGATACCCATGTGCCCTGGACCGGATGACTGGACGATCAGAGCTCAACCAGGAGAGGAAAGAAGAGGGAGAAAAAAAAAGAGTGAGCTAATACAGTCTGATGAACTTGACCTATACTTATGGAGTAGCGACTCAAAAGAGGGAACAAATCCTCACAGCAACAAACATTCACACACACACCCACACACAGAGTGGACAGAGAAGGGCAGCTTGGACATTGGATACTCAAATTGGGAGGGGGGGACTACAAAGGCAAGAGGTGACTGGTTTACAAGCTTTCAAGAGGGAACCTAGTGCTAGGGAGCATGGCGGAAGGCAGAATCTCCAGTAGGGTACTATTCAGTCTGTCTGGGCTTAGCTGATGAAGGGAGATACAGATGGGTAACTTGTGATACTGTAGGGAATAATGCTTATCAGGATGGATTATGAGGGTTGGAAATGCAAAGGTAGAAGTTTTGTAACAAGGAAGGGAGAGATTAAATCTCCAGGATAGGAGCAGAGACCTCTGGGACCATCAACGGAGAAGAGCCGAGAGTGGGACCCTACCCAGAGAAACAGAGATGCCTGAGATGGAGACAGAGATGATGACGTGGAGTGATAAAACGACTGGGACTTTGAACCCAGAGAGGGAAAGGGACTGTGGGCCAAAAACTGGGGGGAGGTGGGGGACGTGTAGGGGGCGGGTTTCTGGGATATACCCTTTGGGTGGTTGATGATGCATGGAGGGGATTGGAACCATGGCAATGAGATGATATACGATGGAATGAATGTAAAACTAAAGTTCTCCCATGTAAACTATCATATAATTCACAATAAAACATTAAAAAAAAAAACCAATATCAGATTCCTGGTACTTTTTCTATGTTGTTCAGCTTCTGCTTGAAGAACTAGCTGTTTGCTTCTTGTCAATATCAACAACCTACAACTGTCAGGCCTTATTAGCAATGACAGACATTTATGGGATTTACTAAGTTGTTTACAGTGTGATCATATGGACAATAAATTTCTTATTATTTTACAGGATTGGATACTTTCCCATCATGCTGATAGCATTTTAAATATATTTGTAAATTTTAACTGAAGAAAACCTTGAGAGTTTATATTTGAGGACTAAAGTGTGAACCTACCAATTATCAGGTCAGTATCATTGCCACTCCTAGATTGTCATTGCCATCCCAAATCAGTCAAAAAAGTTCAGAGAATGTTCTGTACATGGAGATTAGATTCAAATGAATAAAACAGTAAAGAACTGCTAAAAATTGTTATTTATAAAGAAAAATTATAATCTACAGAAACAGGTCTGTTGATTCTCAACACAGCTGTGGCTCTGGTTTTCCTCTTATGTTGTATACATTTGTATTGTATTCATTTCAGATGGACACTAAGCCAAATGAGTTGGTACATATTAGCAAAATGTTCCAGATATTAAACTCTTTGTGCAAAAGTGATTTGCAAATGTAATAATAACAAGTAAGAATGTTCTTGATGCTATTTACAAGGAATAGAAATTTTTCTTGCTTAAAAAAACCGGTCTGCTTGCTAACTAAAGTGACTAAAGATGGTTTTAATTTTACTCTTTTATGAGAATATTTATCCCAACAGTTTAAAGACTTTGATTTGGATGTAATTTGATTTGTTTCTTTATATATTTGTCTCTTACTCTTATTTAATGGATTCTCAAACAAATTTTATTTGTTTATAGTCATAGAAGATTAGAATGGAGCCCAGGACGTTAGGAATGATCTAGTCTGTTTTATTCTGCCTGTGAGGATATTCAGGGCCAGACCAGCAGGGTAATTTCCCCATCCATGGTTATATAACTGTGCAGTGGCAGAGCTGAGACTAAAAACTCTGCTTTTTTCACTTTGAGTCCATTAATTTTTACTCCTATCACTGTTTCTTTAAGGCATACTTTTAGATCTCTAAATAACCGTGTTTAAGGATGGTAAAGGTACTGACAAAAAGGTAACAGGCACAAGAGCTCTATTCCTACCTGCCACCTACCTTGGTGCTTATGTTGTTGCTGTTACATGCCGGTCAAGTTGGTTCCAACTTATAGCGAACCTGTACAGGTTCGCAGCCCATTCATAACCACTGCGCTACCAGAGCTCCTTATAAACATTGTAGAATTGGTCTGTGAACCTTAAAGCTTTTCGAAACTACCAGCTTTTCCGCGGGAGAAAGATGAGGCTTTCTGCTCCCCTAAAGATTTACAGCCTATACAGGGTCGCTATGAGTCGGATGCAACTCCACGGCACATAACCACCACCACCACCACCACCATCCCTCAGCTCTAATTCCTAACGCCAGTAGGCAGCTCAAGGTGTTTCTGAGGTTACTGATCTTGGCTGCCCCAAAATTTGATAATGCCTTTCTTAGAATTATTTTGGAACATGAGAGAGAATAGTAGTTATTCATAATTAAACTGTTACTGAGCTGATGTCTGAAACTTGGCAAGATGTTTGATTATTTATTATCTCATTTAATCTTCACAGAGCCTCTTATTTTTGATATCATCACCCCTCTCTTACAGATATGAAAACTTGCCTAAAGTCGTACAGTTAGGAAAACGCATACATACCTAATAAGATCCTTCTGACTGCAAAGTTAGATGTACTTTTCAACATGCCATCTTATATTAAGTTTAATTTTATTAGTTGTTTTTAAAGTTAGTTATTTTTAAGTTAACTTTTGTTAGACATGTCTCTAGTACTAAGGTAGTCAGTATCACTTTCCTGTGAGTGAAACTCACCAGTTAGAAAGTTAGCAGTTAGACTTGAGGTTACATTGAATGTGTTTACTATGTGGTAAAAGATTTGAACAGCATTCCTGAAACACCATCTAACGACACAGTGAAGTATGCATTTCTACATGTTCTTTTTCCCTTAAAGGCAGTAGTTCTGGAAGGAAACAATAACATTTTTGATGTGTCCCTTAAAATGTAATGTGCTCATTTCTTGTTTGTTAAGGGCCATCACGACGGTTATGACTTGTAGTATAAGGGTTGGGAATTACAGCAGAGTGTATGAACTAGTCATGTTGGGAGTCACTTTAAAGAAAACTTTTATGAGAGTGGTGATTTTTCAGAAGTAAAAAGTGAAAGAAGGAAAATAACACCTGTTCTACTTTGGAAGTTATAACATGTATCTTACCATGCACAGTGGTTAGAAGACTCTCCAAAGATTGGTGTCATTAACGTCTGTCTATGTGTGTATGGGAAATTAATCTTGTGGAAAAGATTTCATTTGTGCCATACAATTTGCCATTTAACATATTTTCAAAGGTATAAGGGCACATAGAACGAACTCATTAAGTCAAATACATTCACTTTGTGGTAACCTGGCCAATTAGGATTTTTAAACAATATAATCAAAGAAGTCATTTAAAAGTACATTTGTATTTGCATTTAGTTGCCTTTAAATCTGTTTTACTATGCAAAATATAAATATTGTGATAAAACTTGACAATTTATAAGAAAAAGTTCTTCCTTACTCCCACCAACCATTCATTATCTTCACACAGATTCCTCTTAAGTCGATTTCAGAAGTGTCTTAATTATCTAGGGCTGCTATAGCAGAAATACCACAAGTGGATGACTTCAGCAAAGAGAAATTTATTTTCTTACAGTTTAGGAGGCTAAAAGTCTGAATTCACCAACTATCTTTCAACTCTGGAGAAGGGTTTCATATCTCTTCAGCTTCTGCTTCCTGGTTCCTTGGAGATCTCCATGTATCTTGGCATCTATCTTAGCCCATCTCTTTTTAGAGCTCACTTGTTTAATCTTTTTTCGTATCCTAAAAGAGACTGATAAAAGTTGTACTCTGCACTAATCCTGCCTTATTAACATAACAAAGTTAACCCATTCCCAAGTGGAGTTATAACCACAGGCATTGTGTTGCTATTGTTAAGTGCTATCCAGTGGGTCCCGACCCATAGCAAGGAGTGACTGGTAAGCTTGAACCACCAAACTGGCACTTCAAATCGACTTTGTAGTCCAGAGAATTAACCCACAGCACCACACTGGGACTCCAAACCACAGGCGTAGAGGTTAGGATTTACAGCACATCTTTTGGAAGGACAAATTTGATCCAAAAAAGAAGGATGCCAGATATTTTTAATCCAGTTTTGCAATTTTGGTTTTCTAAAACTGGGAAGTATATTCATGGCCTAATAACTTTACAGTGTAATAGTGTGTTCATTCTAAACAATTTTGCCTAAGTTTCTAGTGAACAAAATTAGTGGCTAATCCTTTCTTGCATTCTTGGTGTGGTGCTGTGAGATGAGCACTGGCCTGAGAACCACAAGGTCAGCAGTTCGAACCCACCAGCTGCTCTTCAAAATCCTTGTAACAGGGTTGCTTTTAGTCGGAACCAACTCCATGACACTTAACAACAATTCTTTCCCAGACCATCAAGGATGTTTGCTTGGAAATAATGCCAGAAAGGAAAAATGAGGACAAATTGATCCTGAGTAGTTATGAAATCAATAATTAAAGTGAATTTTATTTCCTATTATTGCTCAGTTTGTGATTAATATCAGAAAGCTGTTATCTTTCTATTAATTGTAACTTCTTTAACTATTTTATATTGTAACTGTTGCTCTTTTCTTGTCTTGTTTCATACTTCTTTTAATTTGTTACATTATCTCTATCTTCTAGAGACACTCTAATTTTCTAGAGATAGTCTGATTGTTGTCCTTATTTTAGTTTTTCAGGATGAATCTGGAAAAACTCAGCAAGCCTGAACTCCTGACCCTTTTCAGTATTCTTGAAGGAGAGCTTGAAGCAAGAGATCTTGTTATAGAAGCTTTAAAGGTATGTTATAAGGGGAAAAATGAGAAGTCATCATACGTTTTTTAAGTTGTCTCAGTGGTTGTAATTTATTTAACTAGGCTATTTCTATAGCCCCCCCTCCCCCATTGAAGTTAGTCGCCTGGGTGTATGTATTAACACTTGCTACATAGGTAGCCACCTATGTATAGGGACACTGGCAAAACCTTTCTATTCCCCACAATAATCTCCTTAATCTCAGATGAACCTTGAACTTCATTCTTTTTGCATAGTGGACATTTACTGTTTTTGAATTCTGATCCTTTTTGAGAGATTGACGAGACCAGCTTCCTAAAAAATGTCTATACATATATACACAAAATTCCAGAGACACTCAAGGAGATCAAGAACCCCATGAAGACCATGGATTCCCTGGGCCCCAGATTAGGATTTTGTACTTTAAGTGCTGTTGTTATTGTTGATAGGTGCCGTTGAGTCGATTCCGACCCATAGCGACCCTGTATAGGGTTTCCAAAGAGCAGCTGGTGAGCTTGAACCACTGACCTTGCAGTTCAGATGACTTTGCAGTCTGGCACATTAGCCCACAGCACTACACTTTAAGTATTTGTTAGCTATTAAAACACAAGGGAGCATAATTCTTTTCAAATGTCCTTAAGGGTGTCTGTATAAGTAGTAGCAAGATGATACCTCTGAAAGGAAAGGGGAAAGGGCCATAGAAAGTGAGACTTGAGCATGCCAAAGAAAGCATGTTATTGTCAAGTGCCATTAAGTAGGTTCTGATATGATCATAGCAACTCGGTATTGTGTTTCCAGGGCTGTGAATCCTTATGGGAATAGAAAGCCTCATCTTTCACCTGTGAATTGGCTAGTGGGCTTGAACTGACAACCTCATTATTAACAGTCCATTGTTTGTCTTACAAGGAGCTCTGGTAGCGTAGTGGTTACCAATCAGGCTGCAAACCTTAAGGTCAGCAGTTCAAAACTACCAGCTAGCTGTTCTGCGAGAGAAAGATAGGCGTTCTGCTCCCATAAAGATTTATAGCCTCGGAAACCCTGTACAAGATTGCTATGAGTCAGTTCTGACTCCACGGTACATAACCACCACCACCACTTATCTTACAGAGGGTACTGTGCTCCCCAAAGAAAGCATGTTGTTGTGAAGTGTGGTTGAGTTGGTTCTGACTTATCACCACCCTATATATGGTTTCCAAAGAGTGGCTGGTGGATTTGAACCACTGACCTTGTGATTAGAAGTCCAGTATGGAGCTCTGATAGCATAGTGGTTATGAATCGGGCTGCGAACCGCAAGGTCAGTAGTTCGAAACTACCAGCTGTTCCACGGGAGAAAGATGAGGCGTTCTGCTCCCATAAAGATTTACAGCCTCGGAAACCCTGTACAGGGT